GGTCAAAAGTCTATTGGTCATTAAGTTATTTAAGTTTAGGTCAATTGGTTTTTAGGTCAATTTTCCAGTTCCCAACTCAAATAACTAACTGACCAGTGGACATATTTTGAATTTGTTTAGTGAAATAGGTATATCTTATATTAACCAAACATAATCTATCATACCCTACGATAATATACGCTGGTCAGTTATGTATTTCAGTTTTTTGCTCCACCGCCTTAAGTTTGAGAATATAAATTATCCAAAATATGTACAACTATTTAATAATTTAACAAATACAATGTTTCAGTAAGACGTGAGTTATTGTGAATAATGAATAATTTATGTTAAAATACGATTACAATTAACACATTAGTTTAGAATAAATCTAAACTCTTTATTATTGAATTGAATTGAATTTATTTAGACACGTAATGCATACAACATAAGCTGATTTCCAATACAGACGTGTTATAAATAAATAATATATTAGATTATTTTAAAAATAATTAAAATTTTCCAAGTTTTAATAGGTATTAAAATATAAACATAGTTACTAAAATTACTATTTATATATTTTTAGCAACAAATAACTATTTTGCTTAAATAAATTCAACAAACTCAATTGAATATTTTGTTTTGACTGTAAGTATTCTGAATAAATTATAAGCAATAATTATGTTTAGACTATTTAATACAGAACACTACACTACCTAGGCAGTTAATTCTGAAATAAATAATGAATACCAAGTACTTTAATTATTATAATACAAAATTATTTAAGTTACTATCAAAAAAATAAAATATATTATATTCAGTTATTTGGTATAGATAAATATGATTACATTTGTAAATCGTATATAGTATTATAGATACAAAAAAAGTAAATAAAGTAGGATATAATAATAACATATATTTAATATTTAGAATTAGTTCGACTTAATCTCATTTAGGTAAACAACCCTGTGCACTTTATGTCTCCCATTACTATTACTAAGGTTGTTAGCCCTGAACTTCCGCACTCGGCACCAGACCCATATCCAAACAGTCACCACCACCACACCTACCAGTGCCCCGACAGCCACCCCTATCGATAGCCACATATTACATGTGATGAACCCGTAGTCGAAACAGTCGTCGGCCTCAAATGTTTGGCCGATTGTGTGTAGGAAACTGTGCGCAACATTTTGGGCCTCCGATCCGCACTCGGACTCCGATATACCCGATACGCACGACTGCAGTGTCCGGTAGGAGCAGCACATGACCTGCCGGTGATAAACGGTTTTATTAATTAAGTCAACAATTTTTAAATTATTTTATTTAAACTAGCTAATAATTATCAAATGATAAAATATATTTAAAATGTGTTAATAATAAATGACATTTACAGTGTATTTTATAATTAATTATTTTTTGAAATTTTTAAACTCTAACTACGTAATTTTTTATATAGATAATTTATTTATTTAAAAAATAATTTATGAGAAATTTTTGAAACATTTAAAGTATTCATAAATAATATCAATAATTAAAATATCTAATATTACTTTAAACATAACTAGTTCATATATTTAAACAATGTATATACTGTTGATATACTTACGCCATAGTCATCGCCCTCAATGTTTTTACCACTAATAGACTCATGAAATGTTGCCAAACAATCCGTTTTCAGTTTATTTGTTATCCTGGTCAGACATACCGTACCCTTAATAATTCTAATCCCCTGACCTAGGGTATCCTTAATCTCTTGCCAATCGGCACTACATTCATACAATAAACACACGTTCACTATGAATACGATTAATAAATATTTCATTTTTAAATTATTTAATACTAGTTAACAGTTTTCTAAAAATTGTTAATTTTAATAATTTGTGAAATGAAATTAAATAGACATTTATATTTAATAACAAAGTTCTGTTTGATAAATAAAATTTTATGATTTATTGTCAATGACCTTGATTAGCTAAATCAAAATTTTAATAACTAAGTCCATTATGTGGTAAATATTGTAATCAGTAGTTATTGATAGCAAATAAATAGTAAACATTTGATTATATGATTTATTATCAAATGAAATGATTGGTTGATTCAATATGCAGTTTATAATTTCAAAAATTTTATTTTAATTAAATTCTGTATAAAAATAGAAAAATTACATATAATTATGTATTCAAATTATCAATTTATCACGATCATCTAACTGTAAAACAAATAATCATTGGCTTAGACAAAATAGNTGACCACAAGTGTGAGGGTCTAACGAAACCGACGGTGAATACTAAGTAAGTGTACTGTAATTATAATTTAATATGTGCTAGGATGTTTTTGTAATGATAAAATACTTTAATTTAAAATTAATTTTATTACCAAAATTTAGTGCCAATTCGGAACGCACTGGTCAGCATGCTAAGGGACAGGGTCAGTTAAAAGCCGTAGACAAATATAATAAGTATGTTAAGTTGTAATAATATTACGTATGTATGTATGCGTAGTTTTTAAAATTATAAAATTTGTATTAAATTATTTACTTGCTCAATCATCACTGAGAAGTTTGTTTTAAGTATTAATATAAGGATTATATCATATTTTCTAACAAATAGCAATTATTTAATCTATTTAACTAGATGTTATCTAATTAAAAATATTTTTATACTTGGTGTATAGTTATATTAGATAACTAACTAGCTTTTTAATTCATATAGATCAGAGACTACCGGTGCTCCTAAACCAAAACTGCGAAGGTGCGGATTTTGGCCTACGTGTGTCAAGGGTGACCAGTGTACTTTTCATCACCCTAATAAAAGGTGTTTTGCATTTCCAAAGTGCCGTTTCGGTAAGGATTGCATATATATTCACCCCATTTGTGAATCAGGCATAAAGTGCACAAAACAAGACTGTGTTTTGACTCACTCCGAGGGAACGGTAGCCCAAAAAATCATTGAGGACTTGGAGGTTCACTCGGGTATAAAGTGCACAAAACATGGCTGTGTATTGACTCAGGTCAAGGGAACGGTAGTTCAAAAAATCATTAAGGACCTGGAGGTTCACAAAGCAAACCCGATTAATAAACGCAGAGATAATAGGCGTCCAAACAATAGGATTCATACGAAAAGTACTGCAATTCAGCCAAAAGTATGCTATATTTTATGAAATATTATGGTGTATTAAATAAATACGGTATTTAACCTAGGTCAAAACCATATCTACCAGTACCGTAGCGAGTGGTACAGTAGGGACTAGTGTGACATCCAGACCAAGTCTGGTTCACAGCAATGCTAATGATAGCAATAAAAATTGTGTGTTGAGTTAAATCATTTATAAACCTATTAATAATTGTACTGGCTTACATGAATTTATGCTGACAGCACCTTAAATGTGATTAAAATACACACTATTAATGCACATCTAATTGGTTAAACTATTTTGTCTAAGCCAATGATTATTTGTTTTACAGTTAGATGATCGTGATAAATTGATAATTTGAATACATAA